GCTCTTGTCCTGACTGTTGATGTACAATGTAATACTTTATCCATTTTAGTATTTTTTTTTTGTTCTAGTACCATTGGTTGAACTCTGTAATTAACACACAATTATTCTTAGGTGTTTACATTTTAACTGAAAAGTGATCCCTGTTAAATGTAAGAGTGGGAATAAGAGAGGGAGGTGATGTACAATTTAGGACATGCTCAATTGGACTTGCCCCAAATAGTGGAGTTAGAAACGTGGCAGGAGATTCCAATACAATCCCGTCAAGGTGGCATGTACCAATGCCATCTCACTAGTCCAAGTGGTCAATTTCAGTTCACAGTTGATCACACTGATAGGTCTAAGAGTCAAAGGGATCACACAAACAAGCTAGTGTCTGCTAATACTAACTGATAGAATCAAAAAAGGAGAGAACGATCCAACATGGGAAGCGAGATACACAGCAGACTCATAGAATGGCAGATGTCCTAAATAGCACTCTGGCCTCAGAATCAGCCCTTAAGGCATTCTGATCTGGCTGAAGGGCCCATGAGAGTATTTTAGGCATGGAAAGCCAAGACACTCTGGGGGAAAAAAAAGAAGACCTAAATGAAAGATCTCTGTGAGTGAGATCCCAGTGGAAAGAACGGGGCCATCAAAGAAGGAGGTACCTTTCTCTGAAGGGAGGAGGGAACTTCCACTTTGACTATGACCCTGTCGGAATAAGATCAAAGTCGGCGAACTCAAAAGGCTTCCATAGCCTTGGCAACTCATGACTAGAGCCTAGGGAGATTACTGACGCCATAAACAAGAGTGTCAAATTGTTAAGTCAACAACAGGAGTCACTGTGTACTTAATCTTCATGTGGGATCTGTCCTTAATGTGTTGTCCAATGTGAAGTAATGCTATAACTAGTACTCAAACAGTATTTTACACTCTGTGTTTCTGTGTGGGTGCAAACTGATGAAATCTTTACTTAATATATACTAAATCGATCTTCTGTATATAAAGAGAATTGAAAATGAATCTTGATGTGGAGAGGGAGCAGGAGATGGGAGGGGTGGGAGTGGGAGGAAAGTTATGGGGGAGGGAAGCCATTGTAATCCATAAACTGTACTTTGGAAATTTATATTTACTAAATAAAAGTTAAAAAAAGATATGTTTTTAAAAAATGAAAAACAAAATACCAAGAAAAAGAGGAAAAATTGTTTAAACTTACCTGAACACTTTCTAGATTTGTCATTTGCCTTTAAAAAAAGATTTTATTTATTTATTTAACAGCTAGAATTACAGAGAAAGGCAGAGGTAGAGAGAGAGAGAGAGAGAGAGGTCTTCCATCTGTTGGTTCACTCCCTAAACGGTCTCAATGGCCAGAGCTTCACCAATCCGAAGTCAGGAGCCAGGAGCTTCCTCTGGGTCTCCCATGTGGGTGCAGGGGCCCAAGGACTTGGGCCATTTTCCATTGCTTTCCCAGGCCACAGCAGAGAGCTGGGTTGGAAGTGAAGCAGCTGGGACACAAACTGGCGCCCATAGGGATTTCAGCGCTGTAGGCAGAGGCTTAGTCTACTATGCCACAGCGCTGGCCCCTGCCCTTTTTAAACATGGATGAGATGATGCTTTGGTATGTAAGCATGGGTCAGTCAACTCATTATTTATTTCAGAAAAAAAAGCAATGTCCTATATGCTAAGGAGAGTACTAGGTTGCTTAGAGGTGCTCACTGTACAATAAGAAGATTATCTTCAGTGGAAGCAAAAATATTTTAGCCACTCCAAAAGAAGTGAAAATAAAGAACATGGAAGTTCAGAGTAGAGAAACATTTCCATTAGGTTGGAAAGATCAGATGAAAGGGACATATGAGACAGACAGCAAAGGAGTGATTAGATCTTTTTCTACAGTGAATGAAACCGTTTTAGGTAAAGTCGGTATCATACATACTAGAATATAGTTGTCTGAAGTCTTCAACAAATTAGTAGTTTATTTGGTGGATTTCAAACATTGGGGAATAATAACACTCCCCCTCCCTCAAAAAGAGTATGTAGAGACAAATTGTCATGGGCCTCAAACGCATAATTGAAGAACTCATACTTAATTTGGTAAGAAATTGTAATTGCAAAGGAGATCTGGCTCAAAAGCTTTTCACAGACACCAATCTGGCTTCCAAAGTCATGTTCTTACCCACTTCAGCATACTGCCTATGGTCAATGATGCCTTGCTATAAGATCCAGTGAATTTTGGACAAATTTTTTGACACTTGATAAATATTTGACCAATAGAAAAATGTCAGCATTATTGATAATTTAAGAAATACAATGGTAAACAATTTGGAAGTACCAAGTGATTAGTAAAACCAGTGTAGAGGATAGTGAGAGCTTTTGGGAAGCAGAAGCTTTTTACACTATTTATTTCCTAAGAAGAAATAGTATCCATGCCTCTTACTTTTGATGTGTGCTTCAAGGAAACAATTCCAAAAAAAAGGGAAAAATCTGATGATATTTATGTATATACTGGAAAGCCAAAAATGTCTAAAATGATCCAGCTTTAGGAACTAGTTAAACAGATAATGGTACATCAATAAACAAAACATTATAATATAATATACATTATGTTATAGAAACATGATTATTAGGAATATAAGCAGATATTTGGAAATGTTTAATAAAATGTGGCATAAGCAATATTACCTATTGTTTACATATATAGAGAAGTTATGTCTATAAAATGTGCTTAGTGTACAGTAATAAAGATTGAAAGAGATCTGATCAGGTATCTTGGGTAGTTGGTACTTTATGGTGAAGAAATTTTTTTCAGTTTTGTTGGTTATAATTATTTGGGCTTTCTTTCATATATAACTAAATCAATAGACAATGAAAGATTGTCTTTGAATGAAACCACATAATATTTACACAAATAGCTCTTAGGTAATTGATATATTCAAACAGGCAACTCTAAGAAAATCCTATATTGTATAAGGGAGTGTAGTATCATGTTTCCTCAAAGTCTCATTCTATTTCTTTCAGATCCTCTGAAAGAAATTTTCCATTTCCTATATCCTCTAATTCTTACACTACTCAACAAAATGTAATTGTTAATTATGTGAATACTATAATTGGAATGTAAATAAGATTAGTCTTTGCCAGTGAAGTATTGTGTAATGCCTATTTTGAATATCAGTTGTATAACTAAAACAATGAGGAACGCTTAGCCAACTAAGCAATGAAATTATTAAATCTGAAAAGCTGTGAAATATGCTAACCTACTCATCAATATCTGATTAATATAATCTTTGTTAACATTTCCCTTAAAATAATCATAACATGAATTTAAAATGGACAATGAGAAGTTTCAATAAAGAACTCAGCCATATTTCCTTTCTGACATGTTAGGAGGACTATGAAGCTAACAGATAACGACAGAGAGACCGGATGACCCAGAAAGTGGGATTAGATACAGCTCTTTATACTTTCAGTATTCAGAACATCTTACTAGAGAGCCACGACCACTATCACAAAGGTAGACAGAGGATGATCTGTGGCAAGTGTAGTGATGGTTTACATGATGTTTTGTGATAGAAAAAAAGACCAAGAAACAGGTGCTAAGAACTCTTGTGGATAAGATAAAGTATCAAATGAGATGCTAACCCCAACTGCTAATCAAATTTAGCAAGCCTAATTAGAACTGCTGAGCCTAATCTGCAAATCTGGCATTTGCTCAACATGTGCCCAGAGGAGCACCAACTATTTCAGTGTATAAATAGAGATAATCTCAAAACCAGTGGTATAAGACATCATCATCTTCTGAGCATACACCTCCTAATAAGAAAAGGATCTCTTTTGACTGAAGAAACAGAATCAGTGTTCTTGATGTAAATGTTCTAACAGTGATTATTTCCCAGGAAAGAAGATATTAAATAGATGTGTAATAATTCAGGCAGTTGATAAAGGGTACAAGGAAAAAAAAAAAAAAGATTCACAGGCAGGCATGTGGCACAGCAGTTAGACCACTGCTTGGGATGCCTGCCTCCTATATTACATAGTGCCCAGGTTTAAGTCCTGGCCACTTTGCTTCTGATCCAGCTTTCTGCTGATGCATCCTGGGAGGCAGCAGATGATGGCTCAAATACTTGGGTTCCTGCCACTCATGTGGGAGCCCCAGATGGAGTGTCTGGCTCCTGAGTCGGCCTGGCCTAATCCTGGTTGTGGGCATCTGGGGAGTGAGCCAGCACATGGAAAATCTGTTTGTCTCCCCCAACCTTGGTTCTGTCTGCCTTTCAATAAAAATGAAAATCATTTTTAAAAATCTTTTTAAAAAGGAAAACATTTAAGATGGTTGAATTTGATTATTGGCTTTACTGAAGATGTCTGAGAGTTGAGGGGATGGCTCTATTACCCAGCCCACCCTTTCTGCCCTCTGCTCACTCAACTTGTTGCTCTCTCCATCTGCCCACTTCTCATCCTCTTGGTTCTGGGCTGCTCTGAGAATACCCAAATTCATCCCAATTCTTCTTCTTTTATATTTATTTGAGAGACAGAGGGGTAGAGAAAGATAAAGAGAGAGAGAGAGAGAGAGAGAGAGAGAGAGAAATCTCCCATTCACTGTTTTATTCCCCAGATGTCTACAATGATCTGAGCTAGACCGGACTGAAGCAGAGAGCTGATAAGTGAACTCAGGCCTTCTTCCTTGTGGGTGGCAGGAGACCAATTGCTTGGACTATGACCTGTGCCTCCCAGGGTGCCCATTAACAGAAACCTGAAGTTAGGGGCTGGAATCCATATGCCAGCCTCTATCCCCTTTCTAATGTCCTGGTGCCAGCCAACTCAATTTTCTCTTTCTCCACATTAGCAGTGACTGAGGTTCCCCAGTGATCATCTTGGAATCTCTTAACTCTACCACTTTTATTTTATTTGTAGGCTAATACCATTTTTCAAGTTTCTGTCCATCATACTTAGATAACTGCAACACCACAGTGAAATCACTGTACTTGTGGCTTCAATTATCTACTCATTCCAAGAAATTCTGCACTGACCTGAAAGAGCCATCCTTCACCGTGTCAAGTTCCAAAGTCAGAGGTCTTCAATAAATCTAAGTTCTTACAAAGTCCCAACTGCTTAGCCTGGCTTGTAAGACTTTCTGTAATCTGGTCCCAGCTGAAATTCCCAGCCTTATCTTCCAGTCTTCTGCCACCTGAACCAGTCAAACTAGTTGGCACACTCTCTTTTGCATCTACGTGCACAGTCCTGCCTGTACAACTTTGCCTCTGCACCTCTGGAATGTGTTACCCCTGCTACTCCAGCTCTCTTAATCCACTCATTTTCAGATCTGGTCTGAAATATTACCTCTCCTTTCAAGCCTTTCTGACTCACGCAGCTCCTAGAAATCTTTACCCGTTGGACACATGATCTCATGTCTTTCATCTGTATTGGAATGATAGAACGCTAAATCAATGTCCTCAAATGTCACTGACTTTATGATGGCAGAAGTAAATGTGCACATGTCTTGCTATCCTTGTGAGTTAGCAAAATAGTAGCAGAAGGCCTTCAATTCTCCATAATTTTCTATCTCATACAATACAAATAAATAAGTTCCAGATTCATAGAGTTAAGCAGTAAAGAAATAAAAAAAGTTATGTAAACAATCTGTGAAGGGAAAACTATTCTGAGTCACTAGAGCAAAGAAATGAAACCACTAAGGAAATGAAAACACAAGACCATACACAAATTTGCAAATTCTGCATGCTTAAAACTACTATACACAATGAACATATAAAGGGACTTCAAAAAGGTTCAGTGAAAAATGGAATTAAAGGATAAAGTGGGAGGTAGACATTTAGCTGGTTAAGATGGCCATGCCTCATACATTAGTACCTGGGTTTAACTCCACCGCCAGTTCTCTCTCTTTCTCTCTCTCTCTTTCTTTCCTTCCTTCTTTCCTTCCTTCCTTCTTTCTTTCTTTCTTGATTTATTTGAGAGTCAGAGTTACCCAGAGAGAGGAGAGGCGGGGGGGGGGGGGGCGGTCATCCATTTGATGGTTCACTTTCCAATTGCCTGCAATGGCTTGAGCCGCGCTGATCCGAAGCCAGGAGCCAGGAGCTTCTTCCCGGTCTTCCCACATGCATGCAGGGGCCCAAGGACTTGGGCCATCTTCTACTGCTTTCCCAGGCCATAGCAGAGAGCTGGATCAGAAGTGGAGCAGCAGTGTCTCGAAATGGCTCCCAAATAGGATGCCGGTGCTTCAGGCCAGGGCGTTAACCCATTGCACTACAGCATGGGCCCTGCCACCTCCAGTTCTTAATTCTAGCTTCCTGAAAATGCAGACTTTGGGAGGCGGTGGTGATGACTCAAGTAATTGTGTTCCTGCTACCAAGTGGGAGACTTGAATTGTGTTACCAGTTCCCATCTTTGGCCTGGTCCAGCTCCAGCAGTTGCAAACATTTGGGGAAAGAGCTAGCAGATGGGAGTACTCTCTCTGTTTCTCAAATAATTAAACACATAATGCAGAATTTTGGGCCCCCTTCCACTGCTTTCCTGGCATATTCACAGGTAGCTGGATTGGAAGTCAAGCAGCCGAGACCAGACTGGCACTCACAGGTGTTGCCAGTGTCACAAAGTGGCAGCTGAACCCACTGCAGCACAATGCCAGCTCTCTTTCTCTTGCTCTGTCTCACTCTCAAATACAACGAAAGTAAATACATAAATATATATATATAACTTTTTTCTTAAAAAAATAAAAAAAGGTCAATGGGCGATTGTGATATAATATGGCAACTTGAACCTGAATCCCTCCATTCCAGGGATCTTGACAGTATACGTTGTCCTCAAAGATGCATATTTTTTAAAAAAGATTTATTTACTTAATTACAAGCAGAGTTACAGAGAGGCAGAGGCAGAGGCAGAGAGAGAGGTGAGAGAGAGAGAGAGAGAGAGAGAGAGAGAGAGAAATGTCTTCCATCTGCTGGTTCGCTCCACAAATTGCTGAAACGCCCAGAGCTGAGCTGATCTGAAGCCAGGAACCATGAACTTCCCCTGGTTCTCTCAGGTGGGTGCAGGGGCCCAAGGACTTGGGCCATCTTCCACTGCTTTCCTAGGCCATAGTGGAGAGCTGGATCGGAAGTGGAGCAGCAGGGACTTGAACTGGCGGCCGTGTTGAATGCCAGCCCCAGGGATGTGTATTGATAGGAAGGAACAGTTAGAATATAAGGAGGAGGAGGGATGTGTGAACTAGATTCTCAGGGGTCATGCTAAAGTGGCTTAACATTAGGCTGAAGGCACTGGGCAACCTGGTTATTTCCAAAAGACAAATAAATACAACTGTCAGTCTTCATGGGGGAAGGAGGACCTGTTCTAAGACTCATCAATGACACTGAAAAGCTGAGGATGCTCAGGTCCCTTATACAAAATGGCATAGTGGGGCAGGTGTTTGGTGTAGCAGTTAAGATGCTGCTAGGGGGGCTGTCACCGTGGCTCACTTGGTTAATCTTCCGCCTGCGGTGCCGGGATCCCATATGGGCACTGGGTTCTAGTCCTGGTTGCTTCTCTTCCAAACCAGCCCTCTGCTGTGGCCCGGGAAGGTAGTGGAGGATGGCCCAAGTGTTTGAGCTCCTGCACCCACATGGGAGACCAGGAGGAAGCACTTGGCTCCTGGCTTTGGATTGGCGTAGCTCTGGCTGTAGTGACCATTTGGGGGGTGAACCAACGGAAGGAAGACCTTTCTCTCTCCCTCACTGTCTAACTCTATCTGTCAAAAAAAAAAAAAAATGCTGCTTGGGATGCCTGCATCCCATATGGGACTGTTTAATTTGAGTCCCAGCTCTGCTTTTGAATCTAGCTTCTTGCTAATGTGCACCCTGAGAGACAGCTGATGGTGGCTCAAGTTTTTGGGTTCCTGCCATATATGTAGAAGCCCTGAATCACAGTCCTGGCTCCTGGTCTTGGCCTTGTCTGTTCCTGGTTGTTGCAGGCATTGGAGAGTGAAGCAGCAGATGGATAACCTACTCCCCTGTTTGTCTGTCTTTGTCTTTGTCTGTCTTTCAAATAACACAAAAATAAAATACTTTTAAAAACTTGCATATTTACTAATGAAGCACATGATTATAAATAGCAAAGAAATAAAATAGCATAGTATTTGCATTTAACTTGTTTACATCCTTCCATATACTTTAAATCATCTCTGGTTCACTTATAAGGAACTAATACAATATAAAGGTTATGTTTAAAGTTGTTATAATGTATTGTTCAGGGGTTAATGATAAGAAAAAATTCTGTGCATAATTAGCACACTTTTTTTTTTCTGAATATTTTCAATCCACAGTTGGTTGAATCCGGGGGTGTGAACTCCAGACACTAGGGCCAAACATTCCTACTAATGTATCTGCTTGATTCTTTTTTTTTTTTTTAAATTTATTTATTTATTTGAAAAAAAGAGAGAAGTAGACAGAGAGGTCTTCCATCCGTTGGCCCACTCCCCAGATGGTTGCAACGGCCGGCACACTGTGCCGATCCAAAGCCAGGAGCCAGGTGCTTCTCCTGGTCTCCCATGCGGGTACAGGGTCCAAGCATTTGGGCCATCCTCCACTGCACTCCCGGGCCATAGCAGAGAGCTGGCCTGGAAGAGGAGCAACCAGGACAGAACTGGCCCCCAACCAGGACTAGAACCTGGGGTGCCTGTGCCGCAGCCGGAGGATTAGCCTAGTGAGCCGCAGCGTCGGCCCTAATTGATTTTTTTTTTTTTTTTTTTTGGACAGGCAGAGTGGATAGTGAGAGAGAGAGACAGAGAGAAAGGTCTTCCTTCCGTTGGTTCACCCTCCAATGGCCGCCACGGCTGGCGCGCTGCGGCCGGTGCGGCGCGCTGCGGCCGGTGCACTGCGCTGATCCAAAGGCAGGAGCCAGGTGCTTCTCCTGGTCTCCCATGTAGGTGCAGGGCCGAAGCACTTGGGCCATCCTCCACTGGTTTCCCGGGCCATAGCAGAGAGCTGGCCTGGAAGAGTGGCAACCGAGAAAGAATCCAGCGCCCTACTGGGACTAGAACCTGGTGTGCCGGCGCCGCTAAGTGGAGGATTAGCCTAGTGAGCCGCGGCGCTGGCCCCTAATTGATTCTTAGTATGTATTGGTCCTGTCAAGTTCTTAAAAGAAAAATCGTATAGGGATTTTTTTTTTTTAAAGATTTATTTGAAAGGCAGAGTTACAGGGGCAGGCGCTGTGGCATATCGGGTAAAGCCACTGCCTGCAGTGCCGGCATCCCATATGGGTGCCAGTTTGAGTCCTGGCTACTCCACTTTTGATCCAGTTCTCTGCTATGGCCTGGGAAAGCAGTAGAAGATGGTCCAAGTGATTGGGCCCCTGCACCTGCATGGGAGACCTTGAAGAAGCTCCTGGCTCCTAGCTTCTGATCAGCACAGCTCCAGACATTGCAGCCATCTGGGTAGTGAACCATCGCAGGAAGACCTCTCTCTCTTTCTGCCTTTCCTCTCTGTGAAACTCTGCCTTTCAAATAAATAAATAAATCTTAAAAAAAAAAAAAAAAAAGGAGGGCCGGCAACGTGGCTCACTTGATTAATCCTCTGCCTGCGGCGCCGGCATCCCATATGGGCGCCGGGTTCTAGTCCCGGTTGCTCCTCTTCCAGGCCAGCTCTCTGCTGTGGCCCGGGAGGGCAGTGGAGGATGGCCCAAGTGCTTGGGCCCCTGCACCTGCATGGTAGACCAGGAGGAGGCACCTGGCTCCTGGTTTCAGATTGGTGCAGCGCCAGCTGTACTGGCCATTTGGAGAGTGAACCAACGGAAGGAAGACCTTTCTCTCTGTCTCTCTCTCTCACTGTCTCTAACTCTACCTGTCAAATAATAAAAAAAAAAAAAAAAAGAAAGAAAGAAAGAAAGAAAGGTAGAGTTACAGAGAGAGAAAGACAGACAGAGAGAGAGAGAGAGAGATCTTTCAATCGCTAGTTCACTCCCCAAATAGCTGCAACCATATAGGATGCCTGTGTCATAGGTGGTGGCTTAACCAGCTCCACCACAATTCTGACCCCCATGTAGGGATTTTTAAGCCTCTATATTTGTTTGCTGGTTTCTCCAACCTCAACTCATTCTCAGTATTCAGCAGTAATAAAATGTGGTTTGTTCACCACATCAGCAAACTGAAGTGGCCTACTGCTACAGGAGACCATAGCTGTGTAGGATATCAAACACAGAGTGAATGACATTCTCTAGGAAATAGTGCCTGACCCTTCCCACCCCATTTTTTTTTATCGCATTTTTCTATTTTCTACATTAGACTTTATTATGCCACTTGGTGGCAGACGCAGTGTTTTAAAGTCTTTGCATTCCCAAGTGAATACAAATTGCTCAATTGGTAGTTGTTTAATTAATGAATTAAAGTTTTATAAGCA